TCAGAAAGCGAAAGGAGAGAGAGCGAGAGATTGAGTGGATCAATATAGAGATGTGTATGAGAATAAGTACGGCTTATTAAAAAAATAGAAGTTGGACTGAGACATTAGACAACTGTGGAAGGACTCATTGATGCAGTTAAGTTTCTTTTGTTTCAGTCTGTCGATTACAACCCTATTCTCTTATATCAGCTTTTACCATCTCTTAGCCTTTCTCCTCAATTTCAACTCTACCCTACTCCTAAGTATAGAAAATAGTATCAATTTTAAAATATTTTTGTGAAAGCAAATATATAAGGTTGAATATATGTATATTTATCAATATATGTAGAAAATGCACTTATCTACAAATGGTTGTACATCTAGCAAGGTTGTGTGTAATGTACTATCTAGTTGCGGTACACTAGTATTTTTTTGATAGTAGATAGATGCGTACAAATCTATCTTGAAGTAGCATATAAAACATTAAAAAGTGAAAACATTTAAGGAGTGACATAACATTACATGATATAGGTATGCGTCTACCTAGAGAGTAGGAGTTATTCAAAGATGTATTGAATATAATATCCCTGAATTTCATGAAAATGATAGAAATGGAAAACATGAGACTTTTATAATTAAGAGGGGGAACGAGTTAATAGGTGCTTTCAAAAGGATGAAACAGGCCAAGTAAAGCTTTTTCTATTTATGTAAATAGTTTTTTTTTAGGGTTCAATTACCAATTTGCGGCTATAATGTTAGTTTAGTAGAATAGGCTGCATTTGCTGTTCCTATACAATGACACAGCCCATCTCTATTCTATTACAAACTTAAAGCATACATTTAATTGCTTCACTTTTTATAGAGAGATTCTAGGGTTGTTTATTTTGGGTATGTTTTAAGTAAATAATGTATAATAATCAGTGTAAATTTTAAAGTCTTGATGGTTTGGTACCCGTTTAGGATACGATACATGTATATCTTAAACGACTACCAAGAAATTATAGAGTATTGAACTTACTTATACCCATAAATTTTATAATTCGATTTCGAGTTACCTCACTAGAAAAATTGGAATGTATGTTTTGATATACTCCATTATAATGGCATTCAAGCGTTTTATTAAGTTGTGATTTTGTATCTACACTTAAGTAATCTATTTCTAAGAACTATATGATTTTTCTCACGTTTCTAATTGTGGGGGTAAGTTAGACACTTAGACAGTTACTCCATAAGTAACAATTTGTCTAACCTTCCAGATGCCTTAGAAGGTATTGACTTTTTTCCGTCTTCAAGTCCTCGACTTCGTATACTCTCTCTCTCGGAATTTGATTTATCACTGTGGCGCTAAATCGTAGCATTCATTAAGAACTTTAATCGAATTCTCTCGACAAATACTCTTTTGTTCTCGTGAAGAATCTGTTAATTGTTCCTGAAACCTAATCGAAAATTGCGAGAGTTTCTATAGTTTCAGCTTCTAAATCACCAAAGAGGCTTTTGGAAGAAAAGCTCATCACTTTCTTGGAGTCATCATGTAAAACCCCAAAACAGCTTCTTCAAATCCAAGCTCAGATTTTTAGTAATGGGCTAGAACATAACGATTATGTCGGTCCAAGAATCGTCGCTGCTTGTTGCCGGATCACGAGAATTGGTTACGCACGCCAAGTGTTCGATAGAATCTCTCAACCAAATGTATCTGTCTGGAATGCAATGTTCAATGGGTATGCGCAAAAAGACTTGTCCAAGGAAGTTTTGTTCTTGTTCAAGAGAATGAGAAGCATGGATGTTATGCCTAATTGCTTTACTCTTCCGGTCGTTTTAAAAGCTGTCGTTATGATTAACGATCTAAGACAAGGAGAGGAGTTACAGTGTTTTTCGATAAAAACAGGGTTTAAATCAAATTCTTATTTAGGAACTAAGTTGATTGAGATGTACTCATGTGCAGGAGTGGTTGCATCGGCGAATAAGGTGTTTTGTGAGATGGTTGAGAAAAATGTTGTTACTTGGACTTCGATGATCAATGGGTATATTTTGAACAAGGACTTAGTCTCTGCTCGTCGCCTTTTTGATTTGTCGCCTGAGAGAGACATTGTGTTGTGGAACACTATGGTGTCTGGTTATACTCAAATGGGGAATATGATTGAGGCTAGGAGTCTTTTCGATCAAATGCCTTGTAGGGATGTCATGTCGTGGAACACGGTTTTAGAGGGTTATGCGGATATTGGAGATATCGAAGCATGTGAAAGAGTTTTTGAAGAAATGCCGGAGAGAAATGTATTTTCTTGGAATGGTTTGATCAAGGGGTATGCTCAAAATGGTCAGCTTCCTGAAGTGTTGGATTCTTTTAAGAGAATAGTAGATGAAGGGAATGTTATTCCTAACGACGCAACATTGACTTCAGTCTTATCCGCTTGTGCAAAGTTAGGAGCTCTTGATTTCGGGAAACGGGTGCATAAGCACGGAGAGAATCTTGGGTATGATAAGGTAAATGTTAATGTTAAGAACGCTTTGATTGATATGTATGCAAAATGCGGAGCTATAGAGATAGCTATAGAAGTCTTCAAAGGCATAAAGAGAAGAGATTTGATAAGTTGGAATACCATAATCAACGGCTTAGCTGCACATGGAAATGGAAGCGAGGCCTTGGATTTATTCCGTGAGATGAAAAATTGCGGAGTTAGACCCGACAAGGTAACATTCGTTGGCGTTTTATGTGCCTGTAGACACATGGGTTTGGTTGAAGATGGTGTGGCTTATTTCAGTTCCATGGTTACTGATTTCTCAATAACGCCTCAAATCGAGCACTGTGGTTGTGTAGTGGATTTACTATCCCGGGCTGGACTTTTAACACAAGCTGTTGAGTTTATCAACAAAATGCCGGCGAAAGCGGATGCTGTAATATGGGCTACTTTACTTGGAGCTTCAAAGGTTTACAAGAAGGTTGATATTGGCGAACTTGCTCTTGAAGAGTTGATCAAGCTTGAACCAAAAAACCCGGCTAATTTCGTGATGCTCTCAAACATATATGGAGATCTAGGAAGATTTGATGATGCTGCGAGGCTAAAAGTGGCTATGAGAGACACCGGTTTTAAGAAAGAAGCTGGTGTTAGCTGGATTGAGACCGACGATGGTTTAGTTAAGTTTTATTCTTCGGGAGAGAAGCATCCTCGAACAGAGGAATTGCAGACGATCTTGAGAGAGCTGAAGAGTTTCAGCAACATGCTTGATGAAGAAGAACCTCAAGAACATTTTATCTAGTCTTGAAGGTTTTGTCAAGATTCGATTTTTTTCCGTTACTAGGATTCTCTGTGAAGTACTTTGTGCAATATTGTTACGGAAACTTCGTACTCTTGAGGTATTAGAATTTGTATTAGTCAACATATTCTAAAGCATTTTACAGATGATATTGATGTCTGATTCATTGGATGAATACTCTGTTTTTCACGATCAGTTTGTGCAAACACATGTAATTGAAACCGAGAACTCTGCTTTATCAGTTCTAAAAACCGAGAACTCTGTTTTTTTATAATTTTAGAAGTTTTAGAAATTTAATTTGGTTTTTGAAATTCAGAACTGAACTATACTTTAGTTAACAAATTTTAATTATTATTGTTATAAAGAAAAAATTCAATTTTTAAAGATTTTTTTGGGATTTTTTATTTTATTTTTAAAATTGTTTTAAAAATTATTATTACTATTTTTTTTTAAAATTATATTATTAAAAAAAAAAAATAATAACGGATGTTACTGTTCTGTTAGCACGAGTTTGAGTAGTTCCGTTAACACGAATTCTCAAACTAAGTAGACGGACAAGAGTTGGGGTATTAATTTAGACATTCAAAAAGTTGGGGTATTAAAAAGATTATCGGAATTTAGTTGGAGTATTTTTATGGAATTTTCTTTTTTATATATAATTTCTTTAATATAAACAGATAAATTATGTGATTGCAATAAAATGTCGCAACGAAAAGGGGCCCGATACTTCAACTAGAGGAGCCCTAGAACTACTAGCCTTAGAACCAGAAAAAAATAGACGTTCTTGCCGGTGGAAAAAAATAGACCACTACCTTTCTCTCACTCAATAGATCTATCTGGTCTGATACGGTACAGTACAATACGAGACGAGCAAAGACCCGCGGTAGTGATGGCTACAAAAAGTTGCTCCTGCTACTCAGCCGTCAGCCTTGAGCGTTCCATTCTGTTACGAGTCTAAGATTAGTCTAGACTGAGTCCTCCCTTCAAACCAAACTGTCAAAAGTGCAAACTCTTGAAAGAAAGTGATTTTTCAAGTACATTCAAAGCAAAACC